TTATGACAACGTGTATTAAAACAAAGGTATAGCAGAGATCTTTAGGATTCATGATCACGACGATGAGACGTTTACCACACACAAATACACGAGTGCTTTTACATAATTTTTATCGTTATTTTCATTGAATTTTCCTAGTATGAGAATAAAGTGCACTTGTCTACAAACATTTTAATGAGTAGGTGTGGTGTGTATGTGTATTTCCACAAGTTTTCGTGAGAGAGTGCTTCTTCCTGATAAGGTCAACAGCTTTTACTAGAAAATAATTGCACGTGAGCTTCAGTGTACATGTTTGTGCATGTGAGTGTATATGTGTTATAATAATTAGGTGTGTCAATCATAGACAATGCGGTGAATATACTAGTGTAAATAAGTATTTATTTTTATTATGAAAACCACCGTATTTCTAACAAAAATATTACTAAATTAAACTTCTGAACACAGCTGATACCAACACCTTTTAATTTGTGGTTGAAAGAATTTTTATGGAAAATATGATTTACATGTTAAATATGACTTAATTTATTACATTTATCGTACTTTATAGGATACTTTAAAAATTATGAAAATTTGTAATATAATTTGTATAATATTTGTATAATATTGTTTATATTATTGTTCTCTTTTACTATTATTTAACTCGTTATATTCAGAGATAATTAAATGTCAATAGTTTATGATATAATGATGCCCTTATTTTAATCTGATAATATTTGATTTCTATTTTATTATTTAAATTAAATATATAAAATAATATTATAATTTTCAATTTTAATAACAGAAAAAACTGTAAAACCATTTAAATTAAAATGTCGGTTTCGGTTTACATACAAAATAAACTTAATTATATACTTATTTATACATTTATGTATACTTTATATATAATTATATACTAAATAATTTATACTTTGTTTTCAGATTTTCATCAAGTACAACACTCCACTATCTGATACACTGTCTCTTGAGAGAGCATTCAGTTGAAAATTATTTAAAATACTTATAAAAAGTATTTGGGTGGTATTTTAAATACTTTATTTAAAAAGTTATTGAATAATAACTCAAATACTTTTTAAAAGTATTTTTTCAACACTGACCACGCATAAGCACAATAAAATGTATACCTCATCAACATAATAAAAATATTTCAATTTGAATGTCATAATTTTATTTTTGTATTTTGCATGATATTAAAATGTCCAAAATACACTAGTTCCCTTCACCCGAAATCTAACATCGAATGTCAAGTCAGTTTACTGTCTACGTCATTAAAGTCAATATTATAGTTAGCCAGAGTGTCTCTCAAAAATATGATTATTGTTGATGTAACTTTACCTAATAATGTTTATATTTCCGTAGGACGCTCTGTATATGTTGTTATATATATATGTATGTATGTATGTCCCTAAATTATGTTATACTCTAGAGTATGATATTTGGGCAGTGATGTAGTGGCAGTTATTGTAGACTGTATTATTCCTATATGCTATGATATTTCACCACGAAGTTTTTCGAACGCATGAAGCGTTCGATGAAGTGTGCAATGGCATATTCGCTATGCTGGCGTCAACAGAAGGGTGCAACAGGGCTTACGTACTCCTCGAGCGGAAATACGGAGAGAAAAAATTTTTAAAAAATAAAAAGAATAATACCACCTACGTGAAGTAAGTTTTTTTTGTATAAACCCCTTTCTTTAAAAAAATAATGAAATTAAATACATCACAAACGTTTTTTTCCGGTTGATGTGACGAAATTTTTAGTTAATTTTGTATGAATCAGCTTCCTGAATCTTAAAATAACATCAAGTCGAACTATATATTATTAAATATGACACAAAAATAAATTTCACACAAATGCCTTACATTTATTTATTTATATATATACTCGTATATATATGTACATTTATGTGATAATAGTTGGACATGAAATTCTTCACGTAAATGATGAGAGGTATAAAACGATCGTGTTACACGAATACCGTGAATCCACCCGTTACACTGTTACTTATTTAACTGATTCTAACACAATAATATATATTTTAATGTTTATATATACATAATTTATAATAACATCATCTATAAGTTGTAATGACATTAAACAAAATTTCATGAGAATAAATACATAAAATCAATGGTTCCATCAATGTTTAAAGTAATTTATCCGTAGGTAATAAAATTTAATTTTAGTTATATAAGAAAAAAGTCTGATCGATGGTGATTATAGTAGCAGATATACCATAGGACCGTGGTTCTCAACCAGTGTGTCATATATTACCGTGGTGTGAATCACCAAAATATTATTAATTAAAACTGTAAGCTTTCAAAGTATATAAACATATAATATTATGACGGCATTATGATGTAATAATAAAAACCACATATAAAAAAAAAAAATTATAAAGGCATTCTTATTGATTCCTATCACATTTATTAGAAATATAATCAAATACAACGTTAAAATCTAAATGTTATGTCTCAAAATATTTATATTTATTATTTAATTTAAAAATAATTATATTGTATCGAATTTTTTTCATATAGGTATCTGTTTATAATTTATATTATTCTATAAGTTATACATTCACCTCCATCCGAGTAACGTAGTTAATTATCGCTCCGTGTTTGTTACGATTTTACTTCGGACTTAATGGTCAGTTTTTTGTGGTTTTTGTGTTAAAATCATAAATAATAAGTTGCGCGTTACATACTTGTACCAGCTTGAATCAAATTTCCAAATAATCACCCATCGGGACATTTTTCTCTGTGTCGTTCAAACTATATTTAATCACCGCGATCATAATAAATAAGAGTTTCATTAGCCTTATCTTTATGCGTGACCAATAAGGCCATATATATTATATTTTATAATTATATATTGTAATTATATTTTAATCAGTATACCTGTACAGTGTTTAAAATATGCTCATGCCGTTGCATACAGAGTAACTCTTCACATCCAGCGTGCGATATACACCGTGGGCGAAGAAACTTTTATAGCATTTGCATCAATTAGACCAAATTGGCGAACTACTATTGTTGTCCTAGATTTCCTAATGCCCGCAAATCATTGCACTACATGTTCCAAACCAGTGAAACTCAGGTGTGGGATCTTTGTAAATTCATTTTCCATTCAACTGGTACGTATTAGTACTATATCAATAAAGTAAACTTTTCAAAAGCCAAATAGTTGATTGTGCTCAATTTGTTCACTAATAAAACCAGATAGAAAATCTCTCCTTTATCCATCTAAAATGGGATCTACTTCAAACGAAAATTTATTAAAAGCAATCAATTCAATAAATAAAGTTCAAGGAAAAATTCTGGAAAATAATAAAAATCTTACTGCTTCACAGTCAACACAATTTGCTGATCCACGAAACGATTTCCAGGGTCTATTTAATCAAGTTTCTAGCCTCAAAGCAGAGAATATTGCTCTTCTTAAAGAAATTGACTCCCTACGCAATAGAGTGATTGTACTTGAAACTACTAATGTTTCCTCATCTAACACAGATTCTTTGCCAATCTTGATAACTGAAATGGCTGAACGCGAAAAATGCTCTCAAAATTTTATTGTTCATGGCCTCAATGAAAGTTCATCGTTAATACCGGCTGAAAAAAATGCTTATAGTCTGGACCAGCTTAACAAAATCACTCAGTCTTTTTCTATATCTCTTCCAACGAACTTAAAATTAATTAGACTTGGCCACATAAATGATAATAGACCAAGACCATTAAAAGTTATTCTAACTTCTAAAGATATTACTCTTCGTGTCATTGCCGATTTCAATTTTGGTAAAAGGTCATGTAATCCAAAAAAATCCTATGTCGTCAATATCATTCTTTTGGGATCCTACATTACTTGAACGCAGTGCCATCAGACAAATATACAAGGAACTTGAAGAACGAAAGAAAAACGGTGAATCTAACATTTTCATAAAACATTGAAATGGTACGCCTATCATTGCTTCAGACTTGCGTCCAAATCAAAAAACTAGCTATACCTGGCCCAATAAACCCATTCATAGATCAATGCCACTCTCATGTCAATTTTCAAACTACATGTAATTTATGTCTATACTCTATGTCTATTATATACTATTTTGACTTTGTGAATTATTATCGAAATGTATATAGCCATTCCACAACACTGGTTGTGCTTGATACGCAGCATAACCTAATTGTAAATAATCCTATCCATAATACTGTTAATAATAATCTTAATATCTACTATCAGAATATGTGTGGCCTCCGAACTAAGATTTTCAACTTTAGCTCAAATATAATATTATTTCAATACGATGTCTTTGTACTAACTGAAACTTGGCTCTCAGATGAGATATCGATTGCTGAATTCTTTCCCAGTAATTTTTTAATATTTAGATATGAAAGGAATAAAAATACCAGTAGTAAAACACGTGGGGGTGGGTGCTTATTGATGACGAAAAATCACTCAGATCAATAGTTATATCCACAACATAATAATGTAGAACAAGTATGTGTTAAGCTATTGCTTCCAAATAATAGTACCATACTCATATATTTTGTTATTATCTTAATTTATCACTTCTCATATTGTAAATAGTACTACTACTTGTGTACGAGATACGATTTATCCGTATTATCGCCTGCACTAACAGTGGTTAGTAACTATATAAGTATTGGATTATATTTGTATGTCATGTCCGATATTATGAAATCTTTGTTATTAAAAATATATTATTATTATTATTATTATGATATAATACTCTAATAAAGTACGTGTTTATGACTAAAAAACAAAAGGTTGTTTTTTTTTAGTTCATAACCAATCGTTACATATATAAAACAACAGGTTCACAATCTGATTATCAATTTTTTTCAAATTTACTAGCACAATGTAAATTAGTTTCAAAAATATCTCTAAGATCATATATTAATAATACCCAGGTTAGTCTTGAATCGAACCTGAAAAATTTTTGGGAATACATACAGAACAAAAGGAAAAACTCAATTATTCCAGAAGAAATGCATCTAGATACAGAAGTAGTGACTATAGCACAGACTTCCGGACTTTTTGCTTCCTACTTCTCATTGGTATATAAAACTATCAATTTAAACCCGAATAATCTAGCAAGCATCTCAATTGAACATTATTCTCATTTACCCTCTATGATCATGTTCTCTGAAGATTATGTAATTAATGGATTAAATAGTTTGTCTTCAACTCGCAGTAAAGGTCCGGATGACATAGCTGCTATTCTGCTTTTCAATTGTCAAATAGCATTAAGTACCCTTCTTACATTGTTATTTAATAAATCTCTCCTACAAAGAACTTTCCCTGCAGTTTGGAAAATCAGCCGAATTATATCAATCTTCAAATCAGGTGATCCCACCGACATTACTAATTACAAGAAAATCTCAAGAAAATTGAACAACAGTTTACATCAATATTATCCATTGACCAACATGGGAAACCACTAATATAATAGATTTTACCTCTTTCACTTTAGATGCATTTGAAACTCATCAAAACTCATATGCCATATATATAGATTTCTCAAAAGCATTCGATGCGGTCGATCATACAGCATTAATCCATATGTTGGACCAATTAGGTGTAGAATATCCGTTATTGTCATGGTTTTAATCATACCTAACTGGCAGATCTCAATTCGTAAACTTATTTCAAAATAAATCAGACTATGTAAAAGTCATATCAGGCGTACCACATGGTGGACATTTATCACCGCTCTTATTCAATATTTTGATAAACGCTATATCAAAGGTTGTTTCACCATGTAGAATTCTTTTATTTGCAGATTATGCGAAGATTTTTCATAAAATTAATACCTCTGATGACTGCAACACACTGCAGACTACTATATCTAAATTGGTGGACTGATGTGATATGGTAGGGCTCTCCTTAAACATGAATAAATGTAAAGTAATGTCATTCTACAGAGCACGAAATAAAATTAATTTTGATTATTTAATCCGAAATGAACATTTACTTCGTGTAGAGCAGGTAGATAACCTAGGTTTTAACTTAATGCCATCTTTATCGTTTAAATATCATATTGAGATTATTACTTGCAAAGCTTTACGTACGTTAACCTTTATTCATCGAAGCACATTTAATTTCAACCATGCTAATTGCCTTAGAAAGTTATTCACCTCATTAGTGCGATCAATCTTAGAGTACGGATCTGTGATATGGTCTCCCAACAGACAAATAGATTCCCAGAAACTTGAGAGGGTTCAAAAACGCTTTTTTTCATACGTAGGTCGTGTTCTCACCCTCCACATGATTATACACTAGTTTCCAAATATTTGAATTTGCCTAACCTGGATAACTAGAAGAAAGATTTGAGACACAAAATTTATAATTAATCTAGTTCACGGTAGTATTGATGTGACTCGCTTACTTAGTAGGGTATCATTTCACGTACCGAGGCTTCTATGTATACTTGTGTACTAAATTTATCTTAATTCATTCTAATTTAAAATTGTCTTTTTTTTTCTTACATATATTATCTTTATGTTTACATATGTTTATTCTACTACTCTTTATATAATCATAGTACCTATTGTGAATTTCTTGTAACGTAATGTAATAAAATTGTTATCTTTATATTATTAATATTTTCATTGTAAAACTGCCGTCAGGAGTTGAAATATAAAAATAAAAATAAAAATAAAATGTTTTATTTTGGATTTCTCTGCAAAATGAATACACCGGAATGAATAGATAAAAATTGAAAATTTTGCTTTTTTTTCAACATCATGAATATGTCAATCCCCATTTTCGACATTGGAAATAATAAAAAACATAAAAAGATATTGAAAGTAAATTACGCTTAGGTTTGTCAACCATTTACCCATGAATCACAGACCTATGCAGGCCCAGATTTTTATGATCTAATTAATGTTTTTTTTAATACTTTCTTTGAACTGTTTAAATTTAACTAAATAATATTTTTTTTTATCATAAAAAAATTCAAAATTTTTCGCCATTACTTAATTTATTTTTACGTACCCCTTAAGATAATTTCGCATACCTTTAGGGGTACGCGAACCCCAGGTAAGAAACCGATGTTCTATCTAAAATGATAAATACTTATCAACAGTTTTTTAAAATAATTCCAAGTACAATATTTTTAGAATTTCCCAATAGGTTATAATTAAATTGTATTTCCAGTTTGGTTTCGATCGCCGTTACGTGTGTAACACACATTAATTTTAATAATTGCTCATTACTCTCTTATCTAATCCCAGTTTACTTTAATTATGTCGTCTCAACAAAACGAAAATGTAACTACTGGTAAAATCTTTTGAGGTAACCAAGCCTTAAAACATAGATCGAGATCTAATAAAAAAAATTTCTCTACATCTTCTCTTTTATTATAGGTAGAGCACAAAAAAAACCAAACTATTCACAAGTCAAAATCGATTTTCTATTCTTGCTAAATATAATGACGCTGACTAGAATACACCTTTTAACGAAGTTCTAAACTGTAATAGCAACACTACACTAAAACCACTGCAAGTTTACGTTATAAATGTAAGTAATATCTCCGTTTTCATTTCAAATTTGAAATCCGTACTAAATGCTACAAATACGAGTATCGTCTTTAAATCAAAAACTTCATATTTTATCGTTCGCATGCATTTCCGTGAGTATTATAATTTATTTATATCTCATTGAATGAAAATCAACGCCAGTTGTCATACCTATCAGTCCAATGATATTTGTCCTTTACAGGTTGTTATTCGAAATCTCCACCCGATCACATCACATGACATCATTTCCAGTCTCTCAGATTTGGGACACCATGTCATCAATATCTAATTTGTCATCAACGTTAAATTTCGGATAGTTTTATTCTACCTCTACTTATTGTTGATATTAAAAAATCTCCCAATAACATGAACATATACAAGATTGAATTTCATCTAAGCATTAAAATAGGGGCATGGATCAATTGCGCCAAAAAATAATTTTTATTTAAGATCAATGCACCAATTGCGCTCCATATATATTACGGTCAATATAACAATTACGCTATTCAAATTTTCCTATCTTCAAACATGAAAATATTGTTAATAAAATTGATTTATTATTGTAAAAAAGTTTAAAGGTGGATATTGGTATAACTTTAAATTTTAATTTATTTATTTATATTATATTAAGTATTTATAATCGAACCAATATTGGTTAGTGTATTTATTTATTATATAATTATAACCAATTAATAAGTTTTCCTTGGGTATTGTAAAATGTTTTAAGCGCAATTGGTAAACTCCTTAAAATATTAGTTGAAAAATCACACCTGCGCACAGGCACGGTACCAAAGGGAAACAAGGGTCTAGTCCTCCAGAAAACAGTTCAGCCTCTTCACCAGCCTCCACTGAAAAATATATATGATATAATAAGGTCATAATACATTATTTTTAAAAGAGCCATATCAAAGATTTTATGAAATATACTTTTTAAAAATTTGTAATTTATGTAAATACTTTCGTATTTACGAAGATTTGTGTTTTAAGTTTTTGGATAGACTCTGAATTGTATACATGTATTTTACTTATTTACTTATGGTTTATTACTATTTGTTCGTTTTCATTTAATTGTGGTTGTATGTTATGAAAATAATAATAGCTATATTATGTTATATGACACGAAAATATTTATATTTTATTTAAATTACCTCAGTATTTATTGAAAAAACCTTAGCCCCTAGGAAAAAATTCTAGTGCCATGTCTGCCTGCGCATATATATACATGCAATATAATATACAAGTAATGAATATTGACGTTGTTATTATTATTATTATGAACATTATTATTAATTTTTTTTCCTTTTCTCTAATTATGTACCTACTTACCGAAATTTTCTTATTTAATCAAATTATGGTACCATGTACATATACTCTTTGTAATTCTTGAGCTAAATAGTTTCTACAAATAGCTAATAAGAGCTCGTAAGTTCATGCCTTAAAAAATGTCTAAATAAGCATGCATTTATGTACTCAAAATTAAAGTTTTTCGTCCCGCGACCGCATGTAATCAAAAATATATATCGTCATCGATGATCTGGGGTATTTTTTCATTACTATCATTGTCATTGTAGTCAATATTTTTTTGTTCCTTGTATATTTATATTATATTATATTTCATAAATATACGCCTCATTTCTTTTATTCGGACACGCACGCCATCACGTACCTACGTGGCGTATAATATGGTCTGTTATCGGCGGCTTCAACAAACCCCGATGAATATCGCAATTGCATAGTAATTGTTTTGTAAGAAAATGTATACCTTTTGCAGCACGTACCGCTTTTCACTGTCTGTTCAAGCGGAGTCATCATATATATTAAACGCGAAACATCAACGATTATTTCTGAATTCATATAAATTCAATATCCCCCTCTCTAACATACACAAAAACTGTCAACGTTTCTTTTTTGAACGAAATGTTTATAATTTCTTTTCATTCTATTGTTCTGTGCGTTATTATAACCTTACTGGTTTTTGATTTTTAAATGGCATATTGTTGTTAAATTTTTCAGAAGGCAAAAAAATGTTGTTGATCCCCAAAATGTATAAAACCAAATATAAGACCATTGTAATTCACTTAGAATGTTCGATAATTATAATAACAGATGTCTTGTATCCTGTAAATTTATCACGTTACAGTGTACAATTATTGTAATTCACGTCGAAACAGATGACGACACATATTTCATAAATATAATTCTCAAAGTTTAAAGTTAACATGAAAAAAAAATATTAACTTAACTCAATTTAAAAAAAGTAAATCTACTTTTTTTAATTGGTATAGGAAACACATAAAGCGTGATTTGTTTTTTCTTATATCTTAAATAGTAATAAACAGTTTTTTGTACTTTTATCAGAGTATAAAATATACAATGCAACATTTATACTTACCTATTTTAATTTAATTAATTTATATTATAATCAAAGAACTCTAAAAAGTGAATAAATTCCAACTGTTGAATTATTAGATAATGACGTACGAGTAGTGAACAAAAATAGTTAGTAATACAATTATTATAAAAAATTATTACTATTAAATGATTACTTATTAATAAATGTATAGCACAAATAATTTAACATAATAAAAAAATATTTAAAACTATATTATTATATTTATTTATATTTAGTAGTAAGTACCGTATCTTTTGAAATATTTATTCATGCACTCATTATGGTTTAATTAAAACGATCAATTTGATATTTAAATGTTTATACTTTTACTTATATTCATATTTTAGTACCACGGGTCATAATAATACTGTTATAGCTAATTTGACGATTTGAATTTGATCCTAAACCTCAAACAATATATAATACGGCAATGTATAATGCACGCACTTTCGCGATAATTTAATTTGCGGTTTTAAAAGATAAGTCTTAATAAAAAGTGAATTAAAACATCGTGTGCATCGTTCCAGAA